CCTCGGTACCTACGGTGATCGGGAGAACACCTCTGAAAGCAAACTCTGAGACGACGGTCTATTTTGAAATTATTTTGCAAAGCACCTTAGAGGCCTGTGAGGATACTTGTGGACTGATTCCCACATGCTGTGCCAATGAAGACCCGTACTGATAAACTATCTGCGGAAGTATATGAGGGTCACGCGATGCAAAATGTTAGGACAGCGTAATATCCAAGGCTTCTAAGACCCAGCGGACTTAATCAGGAGTAAACTAGGATCCACAAAACGTATGGAAATGCGCACACCGCACAAGCTAGCTTCATTTTGAGTTCGCCTGCAAATAATTATGACCCAGGCAGCTTAAGTCACTATAGTAAATTGTTGAGTCACGAGATCCGGAGAAACAAATGTCACTAAACCGTCCAAAATGACGCCCAACCTAAATATCTTCCAAGTTGCATACGCAAAAGGGTTAATCGTAGTGAATACCATAAATTACCCTGCAAAATCTGCTGGCAGAAATGCAATGAGCAAGAGGAGAAAATGGTCTCATAAGATTCAGACTGACAAAACCAACGCACCATGATAACCTCGCATTCTGACGTAGGGTGCATATGGGTTGAGAAAGCATCGGAACAGAGTTATTCTCAAGTTTTCGTATGCAAGTAGAGGTAGTCAGTTGTCCAAGTCTTAAATGCCTAACCGCGTATCGCAAAAGAGACCACTTCGTAATACAAACTACTCGAACTCCAACGAAATTCCTGACAGCGAAGACCCATCGAAAGACCGGGTCGGGCATTTTCTGCGGCTGTGACCGGAGGACGCGTATACAAGGCCCGCCGGATCGTAAGTAAAACGATCGTCAATTGACTAAGTTCAGACTGCAGTATAGAACATACCTACATCCAGCCAAACGTATCGTGGTAAACTATGACAGTAAGAACAGACGGATCTGACCCTGGATCTCGAATTTCTAGGGCAGTCCGGAATCCCGACACCGAATATGGCTACTAACTACCTGCCACTGGTGGGCCCGTTCCTGGTTAAGTGCCTACTCAATACATGCCTGCAGCATTTAATCAAGATTCTGACATCACCATAACATGAGCGTAGGCGTTTCGTACAGACGGGCTCCCAGCAGCTGTCCGAGTCAATCCCATATGGTAGACTTTGAGGATACCCGCGGTCACAGAAGTCTACCCAAGCGCAGCTCAATCATTGTTATTGTTGACGTTGGTCTTTGCGACCACTACTTCCGATATTTTGGAACCAGTGTTAGTTCGCGGCTGAGAAGATATTGAACACAGAAGCGTTTACA